TGAATTAAGAGATGGCATGGGGGATCACACAGAATCCATGTTAGGTTGCACACTCTTTGTATGAAGAGGCAATTATGCAGAGATCAGTAATGCCGCCAAAAGTCCATTCATGGAATAATTGATAAATAAAGGAAATTTTATAACCAAACTCTGAGAGTAATTAAAAATGTGGCTATAAATGCATCGCAATGGACGCTGTATTTTTTCATCTACCGTTTTCCATTTGACATTCTGGGAATAAGGAGTCGCAATTATCTTCACCGTCAATTAAAGGGCTGATCAAACTATTCCATAAATGTTTTTGATGAGCCATTTCACTCAGCACCTGCAGGCCGTACTTTGTATAAGAGTCCCGGATGTTCACACACAAAACGTACTTCGCACACTCCGGTTTTTCTTGCAGAGTATCGGCAATGTTTGAGATCGCCGAGTAAGTCTTCTCAATGGCTTGGAGCGATTCTTCTTCAGTTTGCCCTAAAAGACAGCCTCCGTTTTCTGATTCCCAAACGTCTCGTTTTCTTCTTCCTGGGGGGACTACAATAACAAGCATCGACATGGACATGACGTTTGAATTCTGTTCGTTGTAGTTGCTGTTGGCATTGTTACCTGCGTTAATATTGTCGTTATTATTGTTATTATTCATGTTGTTGATTGTGTTGATAACGCCGTTGAAAACTTGGAGGGCAAAGGTCAGAAGATTATACGAATTGAAGCCGAAATTGCCGACTCCCCCTGGACAACCCGATCTTTTGACTCGAGCAGAAGGCGGCGAAAGATTTCTCTCCCCTCCGTCACCTTCGCTGTTTTCAGAGGAAAGGTCATCCCTCTTTTCTCCAGGCTCCGTATCGTTGTTCGAGACGTCGTACTGGGTCGAATGTATTCTATTCTCCGCCAAAAACTGCTCACCAACCGACCTGAGAGTCAACCGAAGATCTCGTAAGGTGTCGCGGTCGATGCTCTCACTTCCACACACTCGACATGCTATCACCATGGCCAAAAATATCACGAAAAAATTACACTGATTTACACACATCACGATTTTCTTTCCTTAAGAACAGCAGCGGAGGAACTAGCTTGTTCTGTGGACTCCGGCGGCAAGTGAGTGTTAAACCACAGGACTCGCGTCGAGGGCGGGAGGTGGCGGTAAAAATAGCAGGGGGGGGGGGGTAGGGAGGAGGAGGAAACAGGCAAGGAGGAGGAGAGTGGAGTATGAAGTGACGAGGGAGAAATAGGGAAGGAGGAGGGAGAGTGGGTAAAGGAAGGAGGGTGCGAGAGAAAATAAAGAGAGAGGTGTGAGAGGAATGATGAGAAAGAGAGAGAGAGAGAGAGAATGAATGTAATTTAAGAATAGTCATTAAGTAGAAGAGAGATAATGCTTATAATGGAAAGGGTGATAGATATAATATGAAAACCGATCATTAACATATCTACAAAGACTAAACTGTGGGTCCAGTTACTCAAGTTACTCAACAGTTACTCTCAATTGCCGCATACGCATTTTCGACTTAGACACTGTGGTTCGTTTTGTGAACAAGCTTATCTGACTGCACTAAATCTGTCACATGTTTTGAAGAGGTCTTCGCAAGGGGCGTCGCTCATCGAGAGGACCGTTGAGTTAGTCCTCCACAACACGTCTCGAAATCCTGAAGTCCTGGTGAGGTGCCGCATCCTCAGGCACAGGGATAGCTCCTGGCACGGCCCTGGCTCCTGCTCCTCCTGTGCGTACTCCTGCAGGATGGAAGTAAGGGCCCGGGCGGCGTGGAGACTCGCGTCCTTCTCGCCCAGGTCCCGGCAGAGAGCGAGCGACCGCCTCCTGCGACCTGGAGCTGGAGGGATGATGACCAGGACGGCGTTGGCGCTGTTGGAGTTGCTGGCGATCTGGTCCGTGTTGACGTTGACGTTGTTCTGGCTGTTGTCGTTGTTGTTGTTGTTGTTGTTGTTGATTCGGTTGATGGCGTTGATCACCCCGTTGAAGACTTGGAGGGAGAAGGTGAGGAAGTTGAAGGTGTTGAAGCCGTAGGCCCCGTTGCCCCCGGGACACGAGCGTCGATACCGCGACCTTTCGACGTCTTCGAGCTCGACGTCGGGGGAGACTTCGGCGCCGCCTCTTCCGACGTCTGGCTCGTCTCTTCCACCCAGGCCTCTCCTCTCCCGCTGCGCTTCCCGAAGTCGCGCTTCCGAGAGGACTTCCAGGATTCTCTCCCGGACGCTCTCGTCATCCTCCGAGGGCAAGTCATCACGGAGGAATTCCGCGAATCTCGGCAAGAGCTGGTCCTTCGACGCCTCAAGTTGTAACTCCAGGATAGAAGGACCACTCCGCCCAGCCTCCGCCACAACACTCAAAAACATCACAACCACAGCGAAACTGATCAGCATTATGCTAACCTGCAAAGATAAAAAGAGCTGTAACCATTCATACAATAACTTACACACAGGAACTCATTGTCCTGAAAATAGATAAAAGAATGATTAAATAAAAACGAAAAAAAAACATTTACATAATTAAAGACGCAAATTACCAATACATTCCAGGAACCTCAATGTATTCAAAACGCACCTATGCTTCCACTCTGAACGCCTCTTGGACAACAACGCACGAAGACTTTGAAGACAACGGCAGAATGAGCGAAAGAGCGAAGCGAGGGAGGAGGAGGGGGAAAGGAGGGAGGAGGAGGGGGAATGGGAGGGAGGGGAGGGGGGAGGGAGGGGGAAGGGAGAGGGGGGAGGGAGGGAGGGGAGGGGGGGCAAGGAGGGAGGAAGGAGGGGGAGGAGGGAAGGGATGAGGTGGGGAAGGGAGGGAGGGATGAGGAGGGGAGGAGGGAGGAGGAGGGGGATGGGAGGGAGTATTTGGGGAGTGGAAGGGAGGGAGGGATGAGGTGGGAAAGCAGGGAGGGATGAGGAGGGGCAAGGGAGGGAGGAGGAGGGAAGGGAAAAGGAGGAGGGGAGAAGGGAAGGAGGAGGAGGGGAAGGGAGGAGGGAGGAGGAGGGGGGAGCCAGGGAGGGAGGAGGAGGGGTTAGCCATGGAGGGAGAAGGGAGGGAGGAGGAGGGGGATAGGAGGAGGATCGGGGGATGGGAGGGAGGAGGAGGAGAGAACGAAGAGAGGAGGAGGGGGGGAAGTCAGGGAGGAAAAAGGGCAGGGAGGGAGGAGGAGGGGAAAGCAAAGGATAAATAAGGAAGAAAGGAAGGAGGAAGGAAGAAATCAGAGAACAGGAAGGTAGCAAGGAAAGAGGGACGAAGGAGGAAACGAGAAACCAACGAGAAAGAAGAAGGAAAAAGGGCGGGAAATGCAAAAGGAGCGTTAAATGACGACAGAAGGAGGTCACCTAACAGTCCAACCACAGATAATTTTCCAAACAACCTCCCCAGCGGTTCTCGTCGCTCGTCTGGCGCCTTGACCGAGAATTTCGTAACGGTACGAGACGTAAAGTTGCGTTGGCGATGCGAGCGAAACAAAAGCGCAGCGGCGATGGATATGATGAGTGAATGTTGTGATTTGTGATTTGAATTTGGGGGCGCGGGCGTTGCTGTCATCAAATAAGATTGTCTTTATTATTAGTATATCGTCATTATCATTGTTATTCTTATCAATATCATTATCATTATTATCATCATCATCATTCTCATTCTCATCATCATCATCATCATCTTCTTCTTCTTCTCCTTCTTCGTCTTCTTCTTCTTCATCACCATCATCCTCCTCTTCTGCTCCCCTCCTCCTCCTCCTTCTTCTTCTTCTTTTCTTCTTCTTCTTCTTTCTTCTTCTTCTTCTTCTTCACTTCTCATCACATCACTACCACCGTTATGATAATGATTTACTATTATCCTTTTCATTACTAATCACACATTGTTATTACAAACAAAACAATTGTAAAACGTACATCAAAATATTCACACAAAGAAGAAGAAAAAACAAATTGAAAGAATCAGAGGAGATAAAAATCTTCCTCACGCGCGCACACACACACATACACACACATAGACAGACAGGCCATACGCACACACGCCGACACGCCCTACACACACACACACACACATAGACAGACAGGCCATATGCACACACGCCGACACGCCCTACACACACACACACACACGCCCGCGCCGACACGCCCCCCCGAGCGACCGCCTCTCGCCCGCCAGTCGCTCCTGCCAGCTCCGCCGCTCACACGCTCCCGAGCTGCCTGGAGGACCTCCTGCGCCTCCGCGATGAGTCTGGATCACGTAGGAATCCCTCTCCCGCCGTCTCCCTCGCTCCTAACGGCGGGATCCACGACGCTGCTGGATCCCCGCCCTTCGGATACTCTCCTGCAGGAGCTGAGGGCGCAGCTCAGTGCCTTCACGAGTCAGCACCTTCGGGAGAGCGCCAACGCGTCGAGGGCCCTTCGGGAACTCCTCAGCGGGAGGGAAGGGCTGGACGCCGAGGTCGGGAGGATGGGCGTCGCTGCAGGGTGAGGACGGGGCTTTAGTTGTCTCTATCTGTCTGTATGTATATGTAGTATATGTACACACACACACACACACACACACACACACACCACACACACACACACACACACACACACACACACATATATATATATATATATATATATATATATATATATATATATATATATATATACCTATCTAACTATATATTTATACACATATGTGTGTGTGTGTGCACACACACACACACACACACACACACACACACACACACACACACACACACACACATATATATATATATATATATATATATATATATATATATATATATCTACCTATCTAACTATATATTTATACACATATGTGTGTGTGTGTGCACACACACACACACACACACACACACACACACACACACACACACTATATATATATATATATATATATATATATATATATATATATATATATATATATATATCGACATCTATCTATCTATATATATACATATACATTCATAGACAATTATAAGATATTCAACTCATCCTCCTGACCTTTTGACTCCAGAGGCCACCGGGGTCATAGGGGTCGGCGGCAGATCGTGACCCCTGACCTGGGGGCGCTGCAGTCGGGCTACACGAGGTTCTTCGGGGGAGGCAACAGGAGGCACCACACGACCTCGTCCAAGAAGAGGAAGAAGAAGAAGAAGAAAAAGTGGGTTGGAGGTGTTGTGTTTGTTGTATGTTATGATTATGATTATTATTATTTTTTTTTGGGGGGGGATTTATTTTTTGCTCGTATATTTATCTTTTTTGCATTGGTCTTACGAGAATATGATTATTGGTATGATTATGTTATTATCCTAAATGTTATGATATTGTTATTATTGCTCCTGTTCGTATTACTGTTGTTATTATCATAATCGTGATTAACTTTGGCATCCTCATCACTGGCATCCTTCTCTCAGCATTTCGAAGATACTAATCCCCCCCCCCCCCCCCGTCTCCAGCCCCGGCGAGGACGACATGCCCATCGTGCTGGTGCCGGAGGAGAGCGCCGCCGAGTGCGTGTCCAACAACCAGCTCTCCTCCTTCGGCTTCCTCGGCTTCGTGCTCAACGTGGTCAACGCCGTCATCAACGTGGCCAACAACCTCAACAACAACGACAACAGCAACAACGACAACGACAATAACAACAACAACAACGACGGCAACACGAACCAGGTGGCGATCACGGAGACGGCCACCAACGACAACCCTCCGGTCATGGCGGTGGCCGGGCGCCGCGTCCAGCGCCTCAAGATGATGCGGACGGCCCTCAGCTCGCACCTGCGGAACGTCCGCAAGTACAAGACGCGGACTCGAAGGTCTGGGACGCCCTCCTCGAGACCCTGCGGTGGGGGAGGAGGCGGCGACGACGGCGACGGCGGAGTAGGAAGCGGCTCCGACGTGGTGGACGAGGCGCTGGTGGCCGCCGTGGCGCTGATGGACATGTGGAAGGAGGTGCTGTTCGAGGAGGACCCGGCGTGCATGGCGCTCGAGTTCTGCGACGCGGCGGGGAAGCTCGGGCGCGTCTCGCGGCTGGCGGGCATGATGGCGCAGGTGGCGGGCGTCGCCGCCGCCAACATGCTGCAAAACTTCCAGGTGAGAGAAGTAGTAGGCGGGGAGTCATAGGTCGTATCATATGTTTGGCGGGTGTGGGTTTGTTCTTTTTCATAGATCTGTGTGTTTCGGGAGGCACGAGCGACCTGGCGGCGGTCTGGACCTTGGGCCATGAGAGTCATTTAAGTAATAACAGGCGAGGGCAGGAAGGGCTTCCCGCTACTCTGGGCCCTCGGACACGGCCTCCTTGCCCGTCGACCCATTCCGTTTCTGTCAAGAGCCTTATTACATCATAAGCAACATTTTTTCGTTGATCATCTCACCAAAAGTCAAAACAAGTGTCCCTATTTTTACTTCCTGTCCGTGTTGCATCCACCGCCCCCGCTGCACATGCAACAAATTATCACACGTAATACCTCAAATGTTTTCTCTCTCTCCAGGGCGTCAACCCAGACTACCTGATCAAAGCTTCTGAAGCAGGCGCCGAGGGAGAGAACTGCGCCCTTGTCTACAGTGCCTGCTATCTACTGGAGGAGGAAGACTTCGGACGGACCGTGTGATCTGGTGCCAATATGTACATTTGTAATAAATTGTATTTTCTTATTTTTCTGGTTTCCTTTGGCCTTGGATGTTTAGGAAATGTTCTTTTGAAAGAGCAGGATGGGAAAGTGAAATGTAGATAGATAGAATAGATGCATAACAGACACAGACAAAGAATAAAAGAGAGACATAGTGAGAGGAAAATGCAACTCATCACTCTTTGCTTAGTATTTCTACTATGATTTCAAGCCCGTTAAAATCATTCATTCGCTCCGCATATTCACATATATTCTAAAATTAGAAATAAGCGGATGTTTACGTTTAAGAAAGATGTTATGTGGTTCTATTACAAATGGATGTGTCTCTTCATGTATGTGAAATTTTAAAATATATACTCTTGATAAAAGATCTCAATCATAGCCTGAAACAGAGTGAAGTTTTGTATAATAACGAATCGAATATGCAAATTAGCAACGCAAGTGGAAAAGTGAATACCTATATACATATTTTTTTTGCATATTCCATGTCCAATAATTACAATCATATAAAAAACAATCAACTAAAGATTATAATCTTCGCTTAAGAATGAGCAAATATTGATATCATTTGCGTACATCACTTCAGGTTAATGATAAAAAAAAACATTAATAAGTACACACACACAAACACGCACACACATATGAACTCACAACAACTGTCAATCAACCCAATAAAAAAAAAAAAAAAAAAAAAAAACTATCACAACATTTAGATAGATTTATTGTCGATCAATAAATACGGAATATAAAATATACACACGTCATTAATTTTTACATCAGTTATCCCTCTCATCCGTAGAGTGGACATGTCGTTGCATCTTCACAGTCACCAACGGTCGAGATTCCTCCCAGCCTCCGTCTCACCATCTTCGCCTGCAGACTGGAGAGGGACATT